ATATACACCAATTTTTCCTATGCTACTCTGTTACATCCATGGAGCTTGATAAGCTTGATCATGCGATAGCTTAGCTTCAAATAGAATCTTTAAGGCCCCACTGAGGGATCCAATGACCAAGTATCCCATTGTTTTCCCCATAAAGCTAGATATTTTTATTTGATCAATATCAAGCAAACTACGACAATCATTGCCCGAGTTTCGAGTTCTCTGGGTTAGCCTCGAGCTTATGTAGCATACATGTGTGCACGTGTTCCAGTGAAGGCCTTCCGAAGTGTTTGTGCTGTAGAAGTAGTGCAACCTTTTCTTTACTGTTGGTATTTGTGAAATGTTAACACTGAAACGAGTCGAACCCTGAGCACATAATTGCGTAAGCAAAAAAATAGAGCGGTATTTTAGAAAATCGAAAAATAAAGTCTATTACTGAGCAGACCAAATGCTAACGAAGTGCTAACTGGCAGGGGTAATTCTTAGAGCATGATGGTCATGAACGCGATATTGCAACGAGTTCTACCTTCTTTTATTTCCTGTTAAGTAATCCTTGGTTCCCCTAGCAACCGTGGAATATACGTTTTCTTGGCCTCAAAGAACGGTGACGTCTTACCCTCGGAGTGGGCTATATTTCGAGATTCATTGTCAGCTTGACGAAGTAACGGACTGCGTTCAAGAACCTCTTGGCTGTTGATGAGGAAACTCTCACTTGGATCGGATCTCGTCTCGGGCCAGATAAATGATGTGTACGCTGCATATGTTGATGGTCGACAACAGTTTCGACAGCAACTCATCATTTCCCTCGCTTGTCCGTAGACAATACAATTGAGAAACCCTTGTAGAGGGTTGACAATGGCCTAGAAATGGTATTCCTGAGTGTTAGAAGAGTAAGACAATGATGCTGTGTAATTTAGGGCTATATTCAGGCAATCTTGATTTTTTTCAATCGGCATAATATATGGTCTTGTAATCCAGCTGAGTTGATTGCGTTCCCCTTATGGAATTATGGGTAAACTATTTTTGGTTAGCATTTTTTCCGAGCAGGGACTGTTAAAGTTAATTTCTCTTGTCTATTGATATAGAAATCAACCATGAGTTCGGCAGAGCGTTTACGATCAATTTAAAGAATGAAGAATTAATATTTGATTGGTTTTGTTCACAGAATCATGGGAAATGCTAATCAAAATACGATGTTGAATCCTCAATTCTGATTGGTTGACCTTCAGTTTGTTCTGAAGGTGAACTCAGCTGGATTCATATTATCTAATATCAGTAATGTGTGTGTAAATAAACAAAAGTTATTAAGTTTTAAAGCGTACTTTGTAATAGACTTTGAAAATCTCACAATTACGGCGGACTCGTTCATTCTTGTACACAGACCCTACTCATTTCACATAAGATCTTACGAATTGGCTAATAGACCCCTTGTACTGAGTCCCGAGAGGAATTGTTCTGGGGGACAAAACAATAGATTTTTTGGAACAAGAAAAGACGGCCTATTGTTTTGTCCCCCAGAACAATTCCTCTCGGGACTCAGTRCAAGGGGTCTATAAGTGCATCTTGGTTCTAGAGTCTAACCGTTCTACTCTTGGTTACCCAGACCCCTCTCGCTCAAACCCTTGTCGTAGAATGGAGCCTGGAATAATCCTTTATTTCTAAAAGGGCATTTAACTAGATTTGATTGATCATTGATGACGCCAAGTGACGCAAGATGTCTTAGCTATTTTCGTCTCCGACGAGCCAAATCATGCTGATTGCCCGTTGAAGACGCCAGTGACGTAAATCAAGGCTAAAGACTAGGAACCAGAAACGGAAGAAGCTTAARCCCCATTGATTTTCAGTCTTTTCCTCTCAAATGACAAACAAAGGAATCCCAAAAGGAAACAGTGAGAATTGTGTATACACGAATCTAAACCTACCTCTACAATCCATATGGGGAAGTGCAGTTTGAAATGTTGTGAAGTACCATTTTCCTTTACATACTGATCTTTTTGTTGCAACACAATGGAAAAGTCAATGAATCCATCCACTACATTAGTTATCCAACTGGGAAAACAAGGTAAGACGTGTACTCAAAAAGTGTGCGACTCGCCTAACCGCCTCAACGTATTGTTTTTGTGGCTACGGCCTCGTAGAGGCTAAGCCACCCTGTCGTCGAGTTGTGCAAGTCCGTAACACCAAAGGAAGCCCAACACACGTGAATAAAATGGTGAAAATAAACCAGTGCAAAAAAACAAACAAACAAACAAACGAACAAAACAAAACAGAAATTTTCCAGTGTTTCTACAGAAGAAATACAGACTTTCATTGAGATAGCCTGCGTGCAGACCAAATTTAACTCTCATTAAGACGGTTTGCGAATTATTCATGTCCTTATCCCCAGTCGAGTTGCACGATTATATATAACAGGCTCTGATTGGCTGCTTTGCCACTCTAACCAAATCAGAAGGTATGTAATAATGACATCTAAGCCACCCACCCCTTGATAGGATAAATCTTTCATAGTGCTAAGTTCACAAAAACGGGGATTGGCTGAAGGCTTTCGGCCAATCAGAAGCGAGATAGAGAGTACAATTCATAATAATAAGATCCACTGTTCGCTTACCAAATCATAAAAACAGATACAATCAGCAGAAACTTCTTTTTGACAGCAAACAAGAGTTCTCGTTCAGCGTTGGTATAACAGCCATGAGCAGTCATGATGTTCTTCCGAACTATAATAACAAAGAAACATGTTTTGTTACTTTTGCTAAATGATGCTATCAAATAATCAATTGTCCCTTTTCGAGTCCCAAATTACCGCTGTGTTTCTTGATTACAGACTCATTTGCTCAGGCTAAGCCTCGAATCAGTGTCTAATTACTCGCAAATACCAACGGTAAAGTAAAGAATGCACAAGTTCAACAATACGAACACTTTGAAAATTGACGGACCTTGACTGGAAAACGTGGATATTCTTCACAAAATCGAGGCTTAGCCTGAGTAAATGAGTCTGTAATCAAGAAACACAGCAGTAATTTGGAACTCGAAAAGTGTCTATTGACTGTGCATGCCACGTCCTTTTTGTTTTCTTATTGTATGGTACTGTATTGAAACAATGTGTGATATTATGCAAAGCATATCTTGCCCACAGTTATTATTATTCTTAAGAAAATAGTCATAGACGTTTTCTTATGAGCGCGTAACATACGTCCTTAATGACTTACGAGACATATAGGGTAACACGTCCTACTAATGGCTTCCCATAACGATGGTTATCGCACAAGTGGGAAACGTACGGTACTGACTTACAGCAAGTACTAGGTACGACATGCTGTAACATCGAAATGGCTTCCCATAACAATGGTTATCGTATGAGAAGAAAAAATACTAAACTTACGTTTCAAAACAGCCAGGATATAAATAATGGGAAGTAAGATAACCACACAGACAAGCGGAATGAAACACACCATGTAATGTAATATTTCTTGATCTTTTATAGAACAACTAAGAAGAAAAATTCATGTATATTAGGATCTTAAAGATGTCGAAACCACTTGGCTGGAACAGTAGGATTTGGTTTTGATATCAAGTTTTTTAAAAATGATATAATTTGAGATGCCTTCAAGAATGACCCACTATGGTCTGGGCAGAGATATTTCCTGTAACTACACAATATACCCTCCTCAGACCCTCCCCACCCGTTGGAAATTCCAATCCCCTTCCATGGGGGAGGTATGGATATTTTCTGGTACTACACAATATACCCTCCTCAGACCCTCCCCACCCCTTGGAAATTCCAATCCCCCTCCCTCACTTAATATTGCAAAGAAGGTGAGTAATTTGGTAAAAGACCATGCCTGATATGAGACCGTATCAGCACTTCTCATCTGCTCCTGCTGAGTACGATAGGGTTTAGAGAGAAATTGAGCATTTCTTTGCAGAATTAAATGATAAACAACTTATCATCAGGCTAAGCATCTGATACGGCTTTGCATTTTTAATTGTCACTTGTATTTTGGCTCGCATAAGGCTCGCCAAAATACTCTGTGACTCCTAAAAATACACAGCCATATCAGATGCTTAGCCGACTGATAACCCCTATGTATGAAGTACTTACAATCCTATTGATTTGTAAAGGTTTGCATATTGGCCAACAACAACTAACCAGACAGGAGCTAACCAGAAACAGATCAGGTATCCTCTTGTTCTCAGGCTGAAAAAGAGAATTTTTATCGGAATGTTATAATTTCATAAAACATTATCAGATTTGTTACGATGATGCTGATAATGATTAGAAGACATTGATGATGATGATGACGACAATGATGGTGCGGTGATGATGTGATGGTGAAGATGACAATGATAATGATAACAATGATGATGTGATGATGATGTGATGGTGATGGTGATGATGGTGAAGATGACAATGATAATGATAATGATGACGATGTTGTGATGGTGATGTGATGAT